AGCTGGATGTAAATTTTAGAAGTCGCATTTTGTTGATTATTTCAAATTTAGAATGACGAAAGTCTTTGTTTTTACATGATTAAAAACAGGATGGAAAAAAACCTTAATAATTAATTAGTAATTAATTTTTAGGACTAAGGTATCTGTCTACCTTAGAGCCCCCTCATCCATAACTCTAATTCTTAACTATTCACAACACCATATTGTATCATACCTTTACAATATTGGCTTATTTTTGAATTACATTCAACGTATAGAATTTTTTTTTTTTTAACTGGACACATTACATAACTAATGAATGGATTCAAATATGTCAATAAACTTACCCGATTACACGTGAGGGCACATTTTATATGTACCGACCAATGACAAAAAAGACACACCAAAATTTGTAAAATTCCAATGGCTACGACGGCGATCACTCCAGCTTCGAAATAGTCTTCAATACCATAAACGCCAAACCAACAATATAACCAACTTATGTAGAGTATAATAAAAGGAAATACATAGCCGTGAAGTACTAGGGGACGAGGATTAAAAAGTGAGACACTTTCGATCTCACTGTTCATGGGCGCTGCCATTTTGAAAGAGGAATGGACCCCTCAACTTTGTGAACTTATGCTTTAGGTCACATATATTTGCCTTTTGTGTAAAGTTTCGAGTTTGATCTAAAATATATGTTAATTATAAATATTGATAATACTTGTATATTATCTGGGCGAGTTTCATAATGGTTACATTATTTTTAAGTTTTTTTTAGGCAGGCTAGAGGTCTTCTGAAATTCACAAGTTGCTGGCAGGCTTTGAGATCAGCTGATACGCGAAAACGTGTCGGTCACCCAGATCAAAGGACACTGGATAAAGTGCTGTAACATGTGAGTCTACTTATTTATTAAATTATGACAATAGTGTAACGAACCCGTATATGACTATGGCTTTACATATCATACTAACTGTTAGCGAACATGGGCTGATCTTTATCATTGACATTCTGTTCGGGTGAACCACAGTCCCTTGGGGGAACAGATCATGCATGCTTTGACTTTTATATTTTTTTTTAGTTCACTAAAGTCAAGCAATTTTAAAATGTAATAGTTGCAAAACTAAATGTTAAGGTAAAAATAAGTTATAGTTTGTGCCCAATGACCTAACCCCCCCTCCCCCACCATCCCCACTGTTTCCATAGCTGCATTTTATGATTGAATAGACTTGCTGGATTCGTGAATAAAATCTTTTTCTTCACTACAATCAAGTTTACCTATATTAGTTTCTTATATAATTGACCTTAGATGCCATATTGCATTTATTTCATTTTGTGTAATTTAATCTATATTCTATTGTAATTTGTACTGGTTATGGTTGATTTATCATAGGATAGGCCAATCATGGAATTTTGAAAATATATTTATCTGCTCTATGACATCAAATTCAAATTGCTGGTCAGATAGTTTTTAACCACTGATTGGTCGGATGGTTTTCAACCACTGATTGTTCTGATGCTTTCCAACCACTGATTGGTCTGATAGTTTCAACCACTGATTGGTCAGATGGTTCCCAACCACTGATTGATAGGATGGTTTTCAACCACTGATTGGTTTGATGGTTCCCAATCACTGATTTGTCTGATGGTTTTCAACCATTGATTGGACTGATGGTTTCAACCACTGATTGGTCTGATGGTTTCCAACCACTTATTGGT